TAGCGGCACAGTTTTTAATAGCTAAAATTTGGAAAAAACCCAATTGCCCATAAACTGGAGACTGGATAAAAAAGATGTGATTGTTTAAAAAATAATTGAGTTTATTGGTACATTTTAGGGATACAGTACTGTTACATTCATTGTTGGGATCTTGTAACTCTACATGACAGGTCTTGGTTCTCATTTTTTCCCCTTGTCCCTGCCCTCCCTTCACCCCCTTCTCCCCACCCCATTTACAACCAAAAAAGATGTGATTTTTAAAAAATAAAATGGAGTGCTACTCAGCCACAAAGAATGAGAAAATAGATATATTTATAGCTAAGTGGATACACATTGAGGACATACTCTTAAGTGAAATTAACTCACAGATGTGTAAGTACCAGTTTCTCTAGTGTGAAAAACTAAAAGTGTAAATAAGGATCAAAATGCATAATTGATATTGTGTATTAGGAAGAAGAGGTCTCAAAGAATAGAGGAAGTGGGAGGGACGGGGAAAGGGAGAAAGGGAAGAGAAAAAGTATGTGAAAAGGTAAAGCATGGAATCAACATCTTTGTAAGCAGGGAAGAGTGGAGGGGGTGAAGGCAGGTCTGGAGAATAGGGAAAAATTAAAACCAAGTAAGTTATATAAAGGTACAAGATCCCAATGATGAATGTAACTGTATCGTATACCTAAAACGTACTGACAAACTTAATTAAAGATAAAAAAGAAAAAAAAAATCACACAAACCTGACAGTTGCTCTACAATTTCTCCTGTTTTGTCAGTGACCACCAACCTGCTTTGTGCTTTGTGCATTTGTGGGCTCTGAATAGTTCATGCACAAGTGATCACACAGTATGTGGCCTTTTCTATCTGACCTTTCACTTAGCACAAGTTCCGGATTTATCAGTGTTTCAGTGGAAAACCTCACTATATTCTTTTTAATGCTGAATAATATTACTTTTACAGAACTGTCTAAGTCTATTCTTTAGCCTGCAGGAAGGTCTCTGGCAAAGTTAAACTCTTCCGTAATCTTTATTTTGTACATAATAAAATCTCTCATCTTAATTCACTCAAATTTGCAATCAATCTACATCTATCCCAGGCCCATATATTTCATATTACTATGTTTTACAAAATATATTTCTTTTTCTTGATGAATTTTATCAATTATTCATCATAAAAGCTATTTAAATTCCACTTCCATATCTCATATATAGTAAGTCGATGTGTTACTTCTATTTTTCTCTGGAAAAATGGAAAGATACAAGTCTCTTTTAAAGGTTTACCTTTTTAATTTCCTCCTTGTCGAGATTTTTATTCACTAAATTTTCATGGAATAAACTTTAAAAATTTAATGCTAAGAATTTTGAGGAATGGTCAGCTTTCCTGACACTGGACAAAATGTCCCACATCCATCACTTAAAGAGACATTGAATTTGGCTCACTATGTCGGGGGATTCAGTTGGCGATCAGCTGGCATCCAGGCAGATGCTTCGTGGTGGAGGGGCAGGGATGGCAGAGAAGCAGAGCAGATGAACAATGTCATACAGGAGGGGTAAGTGCTAAGACATGGAAGCCCAAAACCACGTCTCCATGATACATCCAGACACACCTAGAAGTGAGCTCCAATGATCCTGTGAAGGGTCCTACAGCCAATCAAGGTCACACTTCCGCTGACCACCATAAGGGTATATATCAGGCATGCATATAGGTAGTCACGTAACTTCTAAACAGATTATTTTCTCATTATTCTAATGACGTATTTATATACTAAGAATATTTTTCTCTACCAATCTATAGTATTATCATTCTTCAAGGTTCAGAGATTTTTTTTATGCATTTCCAAATGTGTAAAATCTTTACACAACCCACCCTAACATATGTGTGTGTGTGTGTGTGTGTGTGAGATGATCAGTTGAATAGTTAAATCTCAGAGTACATAGACTACATGTAATTTAGTTTTTTTGTGGGTCAACATACCATGGAATTTTTATCCAAGAAGATTCACCAACAATAATTCTTAATTTTTAAATCAGTGTCATAAGGTAATGATAACAATATTTTAAACTGAACAAAGTACATTATTCCAAAATATTCTAAGAACTTGTAGATTGTACTGTTGTAGATCGTACTGTTTTCTATTCCACCCACCTAACATAATTTAGTTATTTCATAAATAAGCAATAAATGAGTTATCTTTTTCAGGTGTTTTCAAACAGTGCTTGCAAAATAATAGTAAATATTTCTCAGTAAAATAACTATGGAAAAATCTTGTAATATATGTGTATTAAAACTACCTTCTGATAAAATGAAGACTATCATTCAACATCTTTTATATTTTTTAAAGGAAAATGTTCCCAGAATGTTAAATTTGAAGAAAATGAAGCAACAAATACTACTGCCGCTTTATCTCACATGGGTTATAAGTGTCTTTTATTTCTCAGAGATAGTCTGACTTTCCCAGGGTGCAAAAAAGTAACAATAAATATACTTGCTGAGGAGAAAAAGGTCCAATTATGAGAGTTTCTATTACTAATCTGTTGTCCTATACCATATTCAGATTATTTGTAGGATTTTCACAAACACAAGGAAATCAAACAACACTCTCCTGAACAATCAATGGATCACAGAGGAAATTAAAGAAGAAATGAGACAGTTTTTACAAATAAATCAAAACACCAGTACAACATACAGGAATCTATGGGACACAATGAAAGCAGTTCTACATGGAAAATTCATAGCACTGGATGCCCACACTAGGAAAACAGAGCAAGCTCAAATAAACAACCTAATGATGAATCTTAGACTCCTAGAAAAACAAGAGCAAGAAAAACCCAAAGCTCAAACAAGAGAGGAAATTATAAAGATTACAGCAGAAATCAATGCAATGGAAACTAAGAAAATGGTACAAAAAATAAATGAATCGAAGAGTTGGTTTTTTGAAAGAATAAATAAAATTGATAAACCCTTAGCTAACCTTATCAAAAAGAGGAAAGAAAAGGATCAGATCCATGCAATTAGGAAGGAAAAAGGTGAAGTCACAACAGATTCAAAAGAAATCCAGAGAATAATCAATACCTATGTTGAGAACCTGTACTCTAACACAATGGAAAACAGAAGAAATGGACAGATTTCTAGGTGCTTATGAATTACCAAAGTTGAACAAAGAAGATAAAAACATTTAAACACCCCAATTGCAATCAATGAAATTGAAAATATTATTAAAATTTTACCAACAAAGAAAAGCCCAGGTCCTGATGGATTCACTGCTGAATTTTACAAGACATTTAGGGAAGAACTACTGCCATTACTCTTCAGACTTTTCAATGAAATTAAAAGGGAAGCAATATTTCCAAATTCATTCCTGGAAGCAAATATCACTTTGATTTCCAAACCAGGGAAAGATGCAACTAAAAAAGAGAACTACAGACCAATCCCCTTAATGAACATAGATGCAAAAATCCTTAATATGATACTAGCAAACAGAATACAGAGGATCATCAAGACAATCATACATCCTGACCAAGTCGGATTTATTCCAGGGATGCAAGGATGGTTCAACATACGTAAGTCAATAAATGTAATACACTATTTTAACAGAGTCAAGGACAAAAACCACATGATCCTCTAGATAGATGCAGAAAAAGCATTTGACAAAATTCAACACCAATTCATGATAAAAAACGTGCAAAAAGTTGGAATAGATGGTTTATATCTCAACTTAATAAAGGCGACCTATGAAAAACCACCAGCCAACATCATATTAAATGGTCAAAAACTGAAAACCTTCATGTTAAAATCAGGAACAAGACAAGGATGCCCACTATCACCACTCCTCTTTGATATAGTTCTGGAAACATTAGCCACAGCTAATGATAAAGAAATTAAAAAAAAAGATAAAGAAATTAAAGCAATAAAGATAAGAAAGGGAGAAGTTAAACTGTCATTGTTTGCTGATGATATGATACTCTACATTAAAGACCCAAAAAACTCTACCAAAAGACTTCTAGACTTAACTGACCCTTTTAGCAGAGTTAGCTGGATACAAGGTCAACACCCAAAAATCAATAGCTTTCTTGTACATAAATAACAGACTCACTGAGAGAGAAATTATGCAAACAATTCCTTTCACTATTTCAAACTATTCTTAAATGGTTTGAAAAGTGAGTCTGTAATTACTAAAGATTATTTATTGATTGTTTTATATTTCCATACATTCCAAAAATGCATTTGTAAATTGTTTTATATCTATATTTTTCAAAAGAGAGGTAAATCTCGGATGTGAACTATAGGATCACAGGTTGTCTGACAGACAAATTTCTGTGAGCTTTAGAAGACAAAGAAATGTCTCTGCACCCTGAAGCAGATCTCTGATGAGAGATGGAGAATCTGGAAGTCTGAGTGCTGTGTGCTGGGGTGACCAGTGTAAAGCAGAGAGCGAGAGGATGGGAAGAGGGTGTAAGCGGTGGGAAAACAGCTCGTGAACATAAAACAGCATGGGAATAGTTTCACCTATACAGATACTGTTTTGTGAGTGCATTAAAGATGTAAGTGTGTGCAAGAACAGAGAACTGCTTTTCTTAGAGCATTCTGCTTATTTCAAAGGGTCATCTGCAATGAATATTAAACCCTACAAGTGAAAAGCAGTTGTTCTTGGAGAAAGAAATGGAGGAAACATGGGTTGGCCTCTGATATTAAACACAAGGAATAGGCACATAGCAGGCCATAGAAAGGGAGCAAAACTTCTGAGAAAAACTTAGACTCAAAAATAATGGATTTATTTTCTCAGATAAGTAAGAGTAAAAGCAAAATAAATGGTTGGATTTGGGGAACCAGTGAAACTTTGGAGAATAAATTTGAATGCATTCTGAGCATTTATGGGAGAAGAATCAGACTATCAGAGACTAACCTGTCTAATGTATATTTTGTAAAATCATTTCTCGTTATTTTACATGTCAAGTCATGGGATAGAAGATTAAATGGCAATATTACTCCTTGCTTCTACCAGCCAAGTCAACATGTTTACATTTAATGGCTCAAACTTCATGCCTTCTACATTCATACTAATTGGGATTCCTGGCCTTGTGTCAGTGCAGTGTTGGTTTGGGATTCTATTCTGTGCCATGTATATCATTGCTGTGACTGGGAATATCATAATCTTAGTTACAATAAAAAATGCAAACAGCCTACATACACCAATGCACATTTTTCTGACCATGTTGGCAGCCATGGAGATAGCCCTTAGCACCTCTATACTACCCAAAATGTTAGGCATCTTCTGGTTTCATTCTCCAGAGATTTCTTTTTATGCTTGCCTATTGCAAATGGGACTTATTCACTCATTCCAGGCAACTGAATCAGGTATCCTGCTGGCGATGGCCCTGGATCGCTACATAGCCATCTGTAACCCCTTGAGACATGCCGCTACCTTCTCCCATCAACTGTTGACTCATATTGGACTTGGGGTGACACTTAGGACATTCGTTCTTTTAGTACCAAGTCTTTTTCTTATTAAATGCTGCCTGAAGCACTACGGAACTATAGTTATCTCTCACTCTTATTGTCAGCGCATAGCTGTTTTGAAACTAGCAGCTCAGAATGTCCGAATCAACAAGCTAATATGGCCTGCTGGTCACCTTCCTCATCCTAGGCTCTAACATCACCTTTATTACCCTGTCCTATGTTCACATTTTTATCACTGTTTTCCAGTTTCCTCAGAAGGCTTCAACACCTGCATCGGTGTCTCCCTCCAGTTCTAGCTCCTGGCCTTCTTCTTTGCACACCGGTTTGGCCAACACATCCCACCTCGTATTCAAATTCTCTTGTCCAATCTGTACCTATTAGTTTCACCTTTTCTCAATCCTATTGTCTATGGAGTTAAGGCCAAACAAATCCGTGACCATGTTTTGAAAATGTTCTTCTCCAAAAACAAATTTTGATCACCATTAATTCCTACAGCAATTTCAAGTTGGTTCCAAGTGCCAACTTGAATGATGAAATGATTCATGTTCTCTTAAAATATGTACAGCTGAAAAAAATTTTAAAGCCAAGAAGCTGATAAGTTGGTATTCAAGAAATCTTTTAAAAAATCATAATTGTGACTGGCTCAGATGTGAAGGAAAGGGCCTGGGATTTGGCTCAGTGGTTCCGCCACCTGCCTTGAAAGTGCAAGGTCCCAAGTTTGAACACCAGTACAAAAAAAAAAAAAAAAAGATGTGAAGGAAAAACTACTTTCTATATGTAAATATTTCAAGCTGTTTCACTTGTTCTGCTTTTAGTCTTTCCTATTACAGTTAGTAGTTCCTCTTTGGCATTCCCTAGACCTATATAGGAAACAACTATTGGGTACACAACACTTGATTCCTGGTAATTTCAAAGGAACATGCTGTGCATCAATATGTTTAAATTAATTGCCTTACCTTTACCTATAATTCTGGCTATGCTCTGCCCCCTTTGAATTTTCAAAAAATTAATTTTATTGGTACAATTTAAATATACATTTAAGGGAAAATAAAAATACCAGAAATGGAAAAAATGGAAACAAAGTTTTTGTAAATAGAGAAGGGTGGAGGGGGTGAAAGGAAGGTAGGGGGATGGGGAAAAACATAAGAATCAAGATATATCATGTAAAGGTACAAGATCCCAGTGATGAATGTAACTGCACTATAAACCTAGAAAGTACAGATGAACTTAATAAAAATAAGAATAACAGACACTAAATTTGGACCTTGACAAAAAGTTAAATGTGCATAAGGATCACATTCATGAAAGTGAGTTTGTTCCTGTCGCTGGTATATCTTGGTTCCTCTTTTTCTCCCAATCCCCTCCCCTCCCATCAACCTTGCCTCCCTCCTTATTTACAAAAACTTTGTTTTCATTTTTCCTTCTTTGCATTTTTTTCTTTCCCTTTCTCCCTCCCCCACTTAAACTTTCCCTTTCCTTTCAGCCTGTTTCTTCCTATTTCACATCATCTTTTATACAATTTGGTTCTTATTTACCCTTTCAGTTTCTTATACCAGAGAGACAATGTGATATTTGCACATATGCATCTGATTTCCACAATGATCTATATGCACCCACATTCATAGTGACACAGTTTGTAATATCTAAATTTGAAAACAACCCAAATGCTCATCAACCTACGCATGGATAAAAAAGAAAATTTTTTATACAGTGGGGTACTACTCAGCCATAAAGAAAGATAAATGACACATTTAAAGCTAAATGTATGCAATTTGAGAGGTACTAGACTCAACATCTTTAAAATTTTCAAATCATTTATGTTTTCTGTTTACTTTTTCTAAAATACTTATTGATATAAAGGTAATATGAACATGTAATACACCACAAAATTATATAATGAACCAAAACAATTTAAACACCGACAAACATTTTTATGTGAAAGAAGAAACATAGGCATATTCACATACATACCTCTTAGCAAAACAGAAACAGAGGTAAAGACTCATGTAGACAACATCTTATGGAACCGCACGTTTTAGTGGTTTTTATCTGAGTGCTATTAAATGTGGAGGTTTACTTGTCTTATTGGACATAAAAATCAATAGTACTGAATTTAAGTAGTTTGCTGTAAATGTGTTGAGTACGGTAACTTTGTTCTACTTACACTTACAACTGTAATGCATAAAACAATGCCAGAGACTTCTTAGGTTTTCAGTAAACACGACAGTGGATGATAAAAAATTAGACAATTTTCTGATGTTAATCAATTATATTAAAAATAAACTAATCTAGATGTGCTCATGTAAAACACAAAGCAGCCATGCAGAAAATGTACACCCTATGGATTAAGTTTCAGTACTGTTAAGGCAAAAGAAAGTTGTAGATTTGAAGGAATCATTCTGCAATCCTGAGATTAAATATGAGCAAGAAAGTGGCAGGTGAGGCTGGACTTTCCGGCTTTCTTTTTAGTCCTCTCCTTTGGATGTCCATCCAGCCTTTCTCAGGACGCTGCATCAGTAAAGACTGTGTTTGCATTTTCTTAACCAAACTCAATTCTTAGATCTAAAAAGTGATTTTTAAAAAGAATCAAATAGAGAGGGACAGATATCTAGATCTCTAATTTTTGTTATATAGTCAAAGAAAGAAAGAATACAAGCAGAACCTTGTCTCTCTTTTTCTCTGTCTCTCTATCTCTCTTATGTACAGATAATTCTATATTACTCAATAGACAGAAGTGAAAAATAATTGTATCTTTGAAAGAAAGAACTTGTCAACAATATAAAATTAAACGTGTGGCATATGTGTTTTTTTAAATAACATTTATTGTGAAAAACTATAATTGTACATAAGATCCTAATGGTATAAGTGACAATGTGAAATAGGAAGAAAAGGGATAAAGGTGTAGGGGAAGTGGGAAGGGTAGGGGAAAGAAAATAAGGGAAAAGAAAAAATATAAGAAAATGAAAATATGGAAGCAAAGTTTTTGTAAATAGGGAAGGGAGCAGGGGGTGAAGGGAGGGCAGGGGAATGGGGAAAAATGAGAATCAAGATCTGCCATGAAAAAGTACAAGATCACAATGATAAATGTAATTGTACTGTGTGCCTAAAATGTACCAATAAACTCGAGGAAAAATAATTAAATAACATTCATCAAACATGAATTCTATTAAGAAATAAAACCACAATGACAAGGGATAAATATGTGTTAATAGTCAGACAATAAAAAAATTGAAAGTGATAAAAGCAGTCAATATCAAATAATATATTTTAATTCTGCTTTGGAAAATTAGATATTTCTTTATCGTGGCATGAATAGTGTGTCCTGAATAATTAATGAATCATCCTCTTAAAATTAGTGAAAATAAAAATGTACAACTTCATTCAGAAATATACAAATTCCTTTTAAATTTTTGTGCATGACACATAAAGAATGGAGATAGCTAACTGCATTGGAAAAAAAGAAATATTATGGGTCCTCAGGAATTCATGTTTTTTATTAATCAAATATGATGCGAGATAAACATCCCAAATTTTAAATACACATTGTGAAATTAAAAGTAATTTTTAAATGAACAATATATGGCATCAAAAAACTGTGATTACAGTCAAGCCATTAAACCTATAATTAAAGAGAACATTGCATGGTATAGTAAGTTACCAACAATTTCTTGCACATAAAATAGATGGGATATAGCTTAATTAGTAAGAGTAGACAGCCAGATGTGAGTGTGCATGAGATAGCATCCTTAATTCACCTCTGAATAAGTAGTGACCATTACATCTTTGAGTTAGATGATGAGACAAAGAATAACTTGTGCAAGTGCATTTTTCTTTGCTGTTTTGTGTATAATTCATAAACAAATAGGTAAAAAAAAAACCTGAATTATTGTGAAGGAAATAAGCATAAAAGGAGTGTCTAGATAAAGAGAAAAACTTTACTCACCATCAACAAGCCTGCAACTTCCCTTCATTAATACAATACGGTACTTCAATAAAGGTAAATTTCACAACATTAATATTATATATGCTATTTTATAAAGAATATATAAATTTATAACATCTAACATATCATTATTTTGTTTTTCTCTTTTTTTCTACATGATTTACAACTTAATCATGCATTCTTTCATTTTGCAATTCTGTTTTGCTTCTTTTTTAGTGTCATGTAAATTGAGTCAATATGTATTTTGTACCTTGTTTTGTTAGTCTTAATCTGTTATTTATTATATCTCAATTATGTTCATTTTTCTCTCTGAATAATATACCACGGATAATGTACACTAGAATGTGTTTACCTATCTTATTTGATGTGCATTAAGAAAGATCAATTACCAAAAAACATATGCTAATATATGTATCATCACCCACTTATAAATCCAACTTCCAGTTCGTAAGACGTTAATGTTGTCTTAGCTTGTATTTTGATGCCCCTACAAACTCTCTTGTGCTCATAGCTGGGGCTTTTAGGAGGTGGCTGGATCAAGGGTTTGTGAATATAGATTAAGGGTGTGGATAATTAAATCTACTAATTGTTTAACATGGTTCTGGGTGTGGATAATGGGAAGGTCCACCCTGGGTGTGGGTGGCGCCACCTATAGGCGTATAGCAAGGAATATACAATGAATATAATGGGATGGCATATAATGGGAAAAGAATGTCAGCTCCCTGCTTGCTGCTTCCTACGTACCTTGCCACAAACCATTTCTCCTCTGCCATGCCTCCTGCCGTACCCCCCATACCATGCTGCTTTGCTTGGAGATAGGCAGTTATGGACAGAGAACTCTATAAACTATGATCAGAAATGAATGTGTCCTCCTTTAACTTGTGTGCATCCCGATCTTTCATCCAGAAATGAGGAAGTAACTCAGACAAGCATATTGTGATATTTGTCAATAAGTTAAAACATTTCAGAACTGTTTCTCTCAACTAAAATCACCATCAGAATATAGGAATCTTGGGTTGCTTCCTATTTTTTTTCTATGACATGACACAACGCCTTATGATTTTAGCCCTTTGTACATAAATAGTACTAACTCTTTGATTATGAGACATTTTCTGCCAACTAATTGCATATACATGTTCCTATAGAAGTCTTTATATCCTTCATGTCCAATCCTGTTCAAAGTTTCACGTGTTGAATATATTGTTAGCTCGTTGAAGTATGCTATGGATGCATTTTTTTAAAAAATGTTTTTATTGTGATGTAACCAAAATTACCAGACCTTTGCATAAAGGCTGGAACATTCCTTGACATCTTGACTTTTGATAATGAGCTGTGGGCTGAGGATATGAGTACCCACAGGATTGACCACACACATTTTGGTACACATGGATCTGATTGCTGTCTTCCTTTCCCAAACCCATGAGAGTTACACAAAGAGTGTAATTTCCTCTTAGAAGAAGAAAAATGAAGTAGCTGACAAATCACTGCCTGAACTGAAATTAGAAATTCCATATGACCCGTTATCCTCCTGCT